GTTTTCTCAAGGTTTTGGCTGCTTTTGGTTTTCTCAAGGTGTTAGCTGTTTTTTTGCTTTCTCAAGGTGTTGGTTGCTTTTTGGTTTTCTCATTGCAAGTGACATTGAGGCAGCTTTCAGATGCACATAGCATGAAGGGCAGACAACCATGGAAAGTTTATGTCGCACACAGACAAAGAACGTTGAGGCAGATTCCCTTAATGCAGAAACCAAGAAAAACTGCACTCTCACAGTCCCCTGTTTTAGAGGAATAGACCTTCTCCATAGATCTTTAATCTTCAGAGGTCTTCACTATGTGAGTGGATTTCAAACCTCCAGCGTGCTTTGGCAGCCCGCCTGGCTGCGATGTAGGAAACTTGGCCTGGCACAAATGGAGATTTGGATCTAATCAAGTTCTAGAGATCGAATCAGCGCAAATGCACGGCCAGTGTTGAAAACGTGGCTGGTGCACGAAAGCTTTGTCACCAGAACCCTCTTCAGCAACATGACCTAATTAGGTTGTGTGGTGCGTTACAATGCATTAGAGAAAATCGGAATTCTCTGGAATCACAGTCGAAGAGTGCATTGGTAGAAAGCCACTGTCATGAGCGATTTGTCTTAGGGACGGCTTTGCCACCATGTCGCCAGCATTACCAAACAGCGGTTGCTGTGAGTCATGAGTGTATCTCTACCCTCTTTTAGCGACAGCTCTTTCACCATTGTGCTTTACGTGAGCTGCTTCAACTTGCAAAAGTTTGAGAAGGACCAGGCACGATACAACTGGCTTCTTCTGTTGTTGAAGTTGGCCCAGCCACGTCAACGTCCGCTTCCCAGGTCCCTTGTGGTCGCCATGGTTAACTGGATCTTTTAGTTCAAACCAAACTGCTAAAGCTTGTGTCTCTGCCCTGTCTCAGGCCTCGAGCTTCACACCCTTCGCTTTGTGGCTGCATTCTTGCTGATGTGTCGTAGGCTGGAGGCCATTGCTACTAGGTTGGAGGCCATCGCCAGGTTGGAGGCCATTGCTTTGCTGATGTGTCTTTGTGGTCTTTGGTCTCAGGCCATCAGGTGGACCGGGATTGCTGGACAGCGCGTTAACTGCGCTTTTGCAGCTAGCTAGATACCCAAGCAGACAAGTCTGGGCATGATGCGGACTTCCGCACACCTCATGCCTGAAGAGAAAGTTCTGTTGAGAATATCAAGGAGAATGACACAGTAGATGCCTAATTGGTCATTGTCAGCAACGAAGTAAGAGGAAAAATGTGCAAAGCAAGCTGTAGCAGTTGCAACGTAGCAAGAGATAAGAGAGCAGTCACCTGACCTGATTCCAACTGAGTGAGCACTTTGGCTCAAGCCTTCAAAACACAAATTTCATTGCACAGGTCAAGCTTGAACCAGGAGCGTAGCTGAAGGCTTTCAATCCGTTGCTTCACGTCCAAAACGGATTGACTTGTCATGGAACTACTGCGAGCAAGTTCTTGCTTGATGATTACATTGAGAAAAAATATATAGCGAGCATGAAAGGACACATAAAGAAAAAGCTCAAACTGCCCGTCCCAGCATAAGCTCCTGGCTTGCGCCGTACCACTAAGCAATACCTACTTGATGCCTTGTTTGCTCAAACGATGTGTTTTGGAGAGTTTCTTGAAGTGGCTCCGTTGTGATCGATTGCAATACCAGAAACCCAAAGCCGGCAATGGCTTTCAGGGCAACGCAATGGAGCGGCGCGGGCTACTTTGCCGAAGTGTTGCTTCAAGAAGGAAAAAAAGAAAAACGCTGGCTTCTCCAGGCCCGAAGCATGAGATTCCCAGTGCACGGTTAATGAGTTTTCGTTCAGGCCCTGCGGTGAGTCATTGCGATCCGCTCTCTTTTTGCAAAGGCTTCTGCAGCGCTCCGCATGGAGGTGGGAATTCCACGTGCCTCCAAACGTCCTGAGATGGTCACCTCCACAGAAAGGGGCACTTTTGCGAAAGATTGAGTCGAACTATGTCGAAATGGTGTCTGCGTGGTATCTGGTGTTGAGTTGAAAGATTCGATGCTTTCAAAACTTTTAGAGGCTTCGATTCAGATGCTCACTTGAAACGGACAAGTCACAGCACGCCTTTGGCTGCGGCCACACTTGCCGGCCCATCAACTCCCCTTCTAGCCTTCCACAGAACGAGTAAATCCAAAAAACCAGTGGGCAGGGTGCATCCAAGTGAACGGCCAAATCGGCAGGAGTGGAGAGGATGGTGCCTGCACTTCAGGAGTTGGGTTTCGAAGCAAGACGGTGTTTGTCGCAGACGTTCAAGCACAAAGAAGTGGAGAAGTTGGCATAGAGTAGACCAGCTTAGGTAGAAACAAAGGCGGTACAAGTTTGGAAGGATATTGAATGTTGACTATTACTGTAGATTGATTATCTGTTGGGAAATGTTTTTGCGAATGACATGCTGGAAAAGGATTTACTGTTCGGGTCAACATAGAACATCACAGAATAGTCTGTCATTTTGTTCATGTGTGTAGCACATAGCCGCACAACACGTGCCACTTTGGGCTGAGCCGACGCTTGATGCAAAGCTGAGTGCAAATAAGTATTCTGCGAGGCCTATGAACAAAGACGCTACTAGGGGCTCCTGGCCTTACTACTAGGAGCAAAGGACGCTACTAGGAACACAGGGCATCACTACGATCGGAGCAAGAATCTCAGGATGCTTCGCCTTGGGCACCTCCTTCTCTGCAGAGCTTCCTCCCACAGACCTGGCACCAAGGGACGGGCATCCTGAAGCCCAGTCCTAGCCCTCCTGGGTTCCAAGCATCCAAATGCCGCAGTGCAAACCGCGTCGCCCACGGTCAGCCCAGAGTTCAGAAGCCCTCAGAACTCAAAACGGGTGACATAGACTTGAAAGAGGAATCATGAGAAATCCTTTGTGAGTTTGTGCTCTTTGTTCCTTCAGCGTCTTTCTACTGTCACAGGATTGGTTGGGCTTCACGTTTCCAGGTACATAGGAACTTAAGGCCATCAACAACAGCAAGATAGTCACCCTAGTCTCTCACATTCAATAACAACTTACTTGTCACAACACGTGGCGGTGCGTGCCTTGGTACCTCCTTGGTCAGCAACTCTTCACAGATCTCTCGTCCAGGTGCTTGGTCGACGGCCGCAACTGCGGCAAAGACTTGGGACGCCCTGCGGGTGGCGCAACCGTCTTTGCTCCTAGTAGCGATGCCCTTTCTTACTAGTAGCGTCCTTTGCTCCTAGTAGTACGGCCAGGAGCCCCTAGTAGCGTCCTTGCTTGTGACGGTCACCGATCACCGGCGGCGGCGGTGCTTCCAACAGGGGGTCGGTTAGACTGACCACCTCTCTATGACATAGCGCGTGTGTAGCTTCTGATGCCGACCTTGTGGCATAGATGAGTCTTGTGTATACCTTGAGGGGTTTGTCCTGGAAGTGCTTGAAGCACAAGAAGTGTTTGAAGCTGGCAGTTTTTCTGAAACCCGCTGAAACCAACTGTGTTTGTGTCAAGCTGTGTCTGCGGTTCGACGGAACGAAGCTACAACCCTCACACCAGGCCTTGCTAAGGCTGCTTCGCCATCAAGGCGGCCTGTGAAAGGAACAGTTCCGTAAACGGCGACGGACGCGAAGAACGCGGAGTTTGATGGAATTGGAACAAATGACTTCCCAAGACTCGATTCTTCACCTGGGTCAGTGTCAGTGTTGAATAGACACATCCTCGGGATACAGTTTGCATGTTTTTCATGCTCAGTGCCAAGCATGCACTGTCAACAACTTTGCATTTGCCCTTGCACTGGAGAAGGGAGAAACATGTCGCCAGCCAGCACATGGAAGCCACAAGAGACGGATATTCTAAATCTGGACGATTGCCTCAGGACTGTGCAAAAACCAGGCAAAATCAGGGTGGTTGTTCTCAGTTGCTGAGCGCAATGTGGTTGCATCCCACTCATCATCGTTGGTGGACATCCCTTTGTCAATCCCAGCTTTGAGCAGCAAAACTTCTATGTCCATACTCGCCATTAGGCAACGGTCACACAATTTCCAGGCGGTGTTTAAAACTACTAAACACAAGGCAGTGTATTGTATGTATTTTTGTTGACAGGCGTTCTTCCTGTCAGCACAAAATCTAAATGGCCTGTCGAAGATGCCACAACGCCAGTACTGACAGAAGCCGCCTCTGGATTTGGTAGCAGCACCAAGCGCAACAGCTACGCAATCGATGTGTGGTCATTCGGCACTGGAATATGCGGAGTTCCCATTTTCAATTACCTTATCTCTTGATGCCAGCAGGCAACGGCAACGGCCGCTCAACTTGCAGGTGCACTTCAGCAGGCCCGTCGGGTGTTCTCAGCACGGTTCCATGAAGCCTTACCAGTTTCAGGAATACACGCTGCATGTCGGAAGGCACCAGAGCCTAGCCTCATAAATCAGCAGTTCGCTGCTCAGAGCGCCATTTTTATGGAAATCATAGTACTTCAACCTGCTTGGCCAAACATGTTGTTAACATGTTTAACTTACTTGTAGAGCGCCTCCAAGTCCACAATTGGCGGGACTGCTTACCAAGACTTGAGGTAACTGAGACTTCCTTCGACCGTTTTCCCAACACAAATTAATAACTTCTAGTTGTCAACATACTGTTTTTGGCTCATGGGAAGTGCTTTGGGAGAGTGTTCTCCACATGCACAGCATGGAAAGTAAAAAGCTAGATGACAAGTCAAGCCAATGCGAAACACAAGAGATGCCCATTTGCTCCCAAGATAAGACCGTCTCAAATTGTGAGCGTGCACACAAATGTCTTTCAGCAGAAGGCAATCTGTTTTCCAGCTTCTCTGTGATTCGGTCTTGAAACAAAGATCAAGGGGTGTTAAAACAGAAGCACAAAAAAGCGCATTCCTGATTTCAGACAGCGCTGGCTCCCATGAAGTTGGTCACTTGTGGTGGGCATTTGTGCTTCGCCTGCTTGAATCCTGCAATGTCGTGGAGCAAACATTTCAAACGACTCCAATGTCATCAGGAAGTCTAACCACGCGCCTTATCTCAGGAAAATGAAGAGACACACGACCTTGCTTTGACTGGTTCTGCAAGGACGACTCATCACATGTTTGTCGCAACAGCTTGGCACAGGTCAAAGGTATGAAAGGATCCCTATGTTGCAGGTCCAATACATATTGTTTTGAGAGCACCCCTTGTGATCTCATACCATCTCAGCTGGGCTGCTGCGGCCATCGCCACTGCTGTAGAGAGTAGGCACGCAGCACTCTGCCACCGCAGTGGGAAGATTCCACAAACCCAAATCCTCACTGTGTCTGGAAAAAGAAGAATGCTTTGCTTCAGAAACTCTGTGAATGATAACAATTCAATCTATTCGCCTGCTCGAATGCTAAGCTTCCCTAAACGTTGAGGAGCCAAATCAATCCGGAAGAAGTCTAAGCTCTTCTGCGTCCCACTTAGTAGATTCTTAAGCGACTACAGCCTACCCCCCAAACAAATGCAAAGAACAATTGCTATTTTTACATATATATATATATGCTACCCCCCCCCAAGATCTACCTTTTATATGTGTTTGACAAATGCAAATGGATGTGGACCAAGATGTAGTTGTGATAAGAGATAGATTGGTAGATGCAAATGAGCAAAGGAAGCAGAAACTGGAGGACAAACAGTTGATTGGATAAGAAAACAAAAATGTTGCAGCATTAAGTTAAAAAAACGAAAACAACATTCGAGGGAGCTTAGGGGAGAGAAATAGAAAACAATAACAATGTTGAACAATGAAAGGCATGGACATTATTGCAGGGGATGTTTTCATTATATAAAATCACACTAGAGCAAAAGCGAACACAATATTTGAGATAATAATATGTGTTTACACATGGAAAAGCCAAGGATTTATATAATCGCGGTGGTGGTATTATTAAAGCCCAAAAAAACCAATTGTTATTGCAGGGGGCAGTACTATTCACGATTTCTAGTGTACTGGGCCACCTCCTTGGTGGAAAAGATTTTGCAATGACGCGATTTAATATGTGGTTTTAAAGAAAACATTATTTCAGAATTCAAGAGGTAATCATTCAAAGCCAATAAAAGAATCAAACGGGAAAAATCAGAAGAATTATATAACAGCAAGTTGTTTAGATATACAAAAAGGTAACCAACAAGAATCAAACGTAATCAAAAAAATAATGTAGCCAAAGGAATTTTAAAAAAATGAAATCCGTTGACATCAAAATGTGGGTAAAAGGGCATCAACAAGAACCAAAAGGAATCCAAAAGGAGATTAAGAGGACATTAAGAGGAAAAAATAGGTATATATGGGGCTTAAAATGCAGACTTCCCAAAGCTAGGGACTTAAAATAGTTTAAATAGATTACATGTTTAAATCCTATAAATATTGGCTTGTGCGGCTTGAGAAAGCCACATATACACTTAGAAAGGATAATGAAAGGGAGTTCAAAGGCACATTTACAATCTATAGAAACTTTGGGGCCGAAAATTTAAGAATAATCATATTTGGTCTTTCTCTGCAAATATGTCCTTAAGAAAGCTAGATATATTATCCTTAGAAAAGAGAATGGACATGATTAAACGGAACATATTTGTAATATCTACAAATGTTTGGGCCTGAAATGTACAAATATTGCAAAAAGGAGTTTCCCCGGGTTCCTGGAGCAATTAAGTTTATCAATGTTATAAATATTGAAAATATTTATAGTATGTAAAAACATCTGGTGCCAAAAGTTTATAAATAGTATATATATGTGGTTTCCCCTTACAAATGTGGCCACATTCTTCCCAGCCACATTTGTAAGGTGGCATTGGTTCTGATGCATTGAGAAGGTATGACTCAGTAGAGTCATTCCTGTGCAAAAGAATTTAATCTGAAATCCGGCTGATCCTTTTTCTAAAACGACTGTTTTCTAGGAAAAAACATAGTCTTTTGTGGTAAAAAAATATATATATTTTTTGGACATGGATTGACGATTGAAGATTGAAGATGCCTAGAAAAAGTTTGTTCAGCAATCTTCAATCCAGGTCCCAAAGAAATAGTATGTTTATATGTTTTAAAAAATTCATGGTGGCTGGATTGAAGATTGAAGATAATGAAAGTGACAAGGGTTCAGGTATATCAACAGGGAACAGCCACCACAACCTACGGAGTGGGAGGTGTTCAGAGAGATAACCAATTGTATCAAGAACCCTAGCATGGGATGGGACACGACGAGGGACCCCGGAGGGCTTGGTCCCCGTTGTGTAATATGGGATGTGAGTTAGGGGAGGGAGCACCTACGGCAACCGACCCGAAACCAAACACAACCCGAAATGCACGAAGGCACGAAAGCGAACGAATGCAGCGACACGACGATCGAACCGACCGGCGTGCACGAGTGCTGAAACAAGCACGGGCGCACTTGTTTCTTGAGCCATGATGGGCGTCGGTGTGAAACAATGTCTTGACGACCGACGTCCGAAAACACTGTACATGAACACATCATGACATGGCAAGTTATATAGGGGTTACCACAGTGCGTGATATTTTGACTCCCCCCTCGCCGCTTTGCGTGTCATGGGTTCGCTGTACATGCGTTAATTACCGCGCATGAAGCAGCGGCTTTTGCTTCTGTCCTAGACCCCAACGAAAAGCTTCGGTCTCTGAGAGATGGCTGTGGCTTGCGGATATCGGTTCGAATGCCAAGAAGGCATATGGCCTTGAACCACTTTTGTGGTGGCAACGCCTTTGTAAAGATATCGGCGGCTTGCTCGTTAGTGTCTATGTATTGAACAGTTATACATGGGTCATCAAGACACTCTTTCAAAGATGAGAGGTTAATTTTACGCGTTCGGCCGATACGAAGTTTTGGGGAATACCCTTTACGAACGACGATGATGGTGGCTTGATTGTCCTCGTGGATGATCAAGTCCACCGGCCTCTGCAATAATTTCTCCCATAGTTGGAGGGCTGGAACGCCTTCCTGATAGAGCGAGTGTGCCAGACTTACCACATCTGACTCGGTGGTGGACCGAGATGTGGATATCTGTCTCTTGGAGATCCATGCTAGTGGAAAAATGTGTTAGGGCCTTTTAATGTCAGGAATCCGCCCAAGGTTGACTTGACGTCATGGTGATCGCCTCCAAAATCGGCGTCGACATAGAGCTCGAGTCTTAGATCTTTAGGATCGTCTTGACAGGAGGCAGTTAATCTTTAGTCTAACGAATATTGGAGGTACTGAATTAGCCTTAATAACTTCTTATCATGTACTTTGGTCCAGGCTTGGACCTTAGTCGCTAAGTCGTTAATAGGCTTAAGGATGTCAGGTCTGGACAGGCGGGCCAACCAAGGGGCCTTCATTAGTATTGAGCATGCTTTCGGGGCGAGTTCTCCAGGGGAATCCTCGTCCTCGTTTGTCCATGCTCCGTCAGGGATGAAGGGGGTTTGCGCGGGTTTGATTTTGTCGACTTTAGCCACAGTTTTATAAAGGTCTATGGTTTGTTGGGCATAGTCCTTCATGTCGAAAATCAACGCATCTGGGGCCGCGCCTAAAGCAGCGTTCTCTTCACCCTGAACTTTATCGAAACTAGCGTAAACATGGTTTCTTCCGAGGATTCTATAAATGGTTTCGGGAGGTTCTACGTTTACTTGTGACATTAGTTGATTCCAGAACGGAGCGTGGTGCTCGGACGGACCGGATAATGTCAAATCGTCTACGTACGTAGATAGCATGAGACCTGTCCCTTTGAAATAAAAATTTCCGAGATACTCAGGAATCTCCTCGCCGTCCATTTTCTTCAAAATCCCCTTTAGGTGGTTTTCCCACATTCCCCCTGCATCGGGATGTCCATATAGCGCCCTCACTAAAAGTACAACTGGGCGGGTGAATTTTCCTCGCCACCACTCCGGGCGGAGTTCAGGTGGGAGCTCAATCCACGTTTTGTACTTGCTTTTGAGAAAGGCTTGGACGTACGCTTTCACGGCGTCCGCCGCCGTACAAGCGTGTCCCGGCAAGGAGCCGTAGGCTAGACAGGCGTTCAAGCCCTGTACGGATGTTGGGTTCGCGCCCAACTCTTCGTAGACAGCGGCAACACCATTTTCGTCGCGCGCACAATCGCCGCGATACACTATTCGCCCCTTCATTTTGTGAAGGTGTTCTGCTAATTCCGAAAATTTAATTGAGGCGATAGTCATTAAGCGGCCAAAGTGTACTGAGACTTTGCTAGCCTTTGCCTCAGCCTTAACTGCATCGTACTCCTGGACTGAGTCAAGATCCCAGGTACCGATGTCGGTTAGGGATGTTGCCTCTTCCTTAACTTTCTCAACGGCTTTAGGGTTTGCCAACATCTCTGCCCTGGACAGCAGTTTAGTTACCATGGCATGGACCCTACCGTGATGTTTAGGACCTTCAGGGATGTCAAACGCAGCTCGAACCAAGGTTTCCAGATCCATTAGGCACTCGGCCATCTGGTCTGCAACCTCATCGGTTTCGACGGCTAATGCAAATGTATCGGCTCCTGCTAGTGCGGAAGTGTGTTTTAGGGATTGCTCTTTTACCCTATGCTCCTCTTCCCGCGCCTGGGAGGCAGCGGCTGGGACTACACATGGCATGGCTGGGGCTGGAGCTAAATTGACCTTTTGGGGGTATAAAGCTCTGGCTATTTCACATACCATTTGTGGGGGGTAAAAGGCGGTCTTTGCGGTTTGTGACACAACTGCGTGATCATGCTCGTGTGGGGAATGCGTGCACTTGTGCTGCGAAAAGGCATCTGCGATGCGTTGACTTGTCGTCATAAGTCTCCAGGTTTTCTTAATGGGTCTACCCTTGGTGGGTTGAACCCCTACTGCGCAACCATCAAACTCAACTAGTTGGAATTCTGGATGCGAGTTAAAGAACGACTGGACATCTTGGCGAGTCTAACTTTCGCAGCCCTTTGGCCATTCAAAGGTTACAGTGCCCCCCCTGTTAAGGACAATCTCCGAGCTTCTTACAAATTCTGCAAAAAGTCGTCTAGACTCGCGGACTTGCTGCGCATGAGCGCGGGCAAATCGCACGCCACCTTTCGACCGGTTGACCCTTTGCCATGGTGAGCCCGATGTACATGGTATCGAGGCCCACAGGTCCGGCACCTCCTCACAGGTCTCCAAGTGGTTATGGAGCTGGTCCTGCATGTTGGTGTTAGTCAGGTCTAGGTGTTCCTTACTTAGAGGGACATGAGGGATTCCCAATTCTAGAAATGTTTTGTGCGTCTGAGAATTGAGAGCGCACGCAAACTCGAACATGCAGCGGTTGAACTTGGGCACGCCAC